CAGACTGTGCGGTCAGACTTGGAGTTTCATCGTCTCCACGAGTTCCTACCTCGCCTTCGCTCAAAGTTTGAGCCTCGGCGTGCTCACCTGCTTGCTCGTGGTCGTGTTCCTATTTCGTAGGTGCTTGCCGAGCTTCGTGCTGAGGAGACACATCTCCGGTCCGCTGATCTGCTTGTGGTTCCCACTGTTCTTGCTGCCCAAGCTCTTGTGTTGTCTGCTCACCTCACTACTCCACCGCTCCTGCCCACACCTCCAGGGGGGCGTTTCACCCTCCTTCAGGAGAGGGTCGGTCGTGCTCGCACACCTTCTGTGGCTACTGCAACAGGCCAGGTCACCCAGAATCAGATTGTCACAAGAAGCGGAGAGACCTGAAGCGCTCTTCATCTAGTGGGACTCGTGCGTCTTCCTCGACTGCGTCGCTTACTGACCAGGATATTCTGCGGCTCAAGCGCATGTTGGCATCATCCGGTTCTTCCTTGACGGGTTCTGTTGCCGTCGTGACAGCCACCACCACTCTGCCCCCGCCGGAGCCTACTCAGACAGGTACATCCTCGTGAGTTCTGGATTCTGGAGCTTCTTTTCATATGTCTTCTGATTCTTCTGTTTTATCTTCTCTTCGTCCTCCTGGTTTTCCTCTTAATGTTCTCACGACCGATGGCACACCTCTTCCTGCTGCTAGTCATGGCATCCTTTCCACTCCGTCTTTCTCGGTTCCTAGTGTTTCTCATGTTCCTCGTCTTACCATGAATCTCTTTTCCGCTGCCCAACTTACTGATTCTGGTTGTCGTGTCATTCTTGATGCCGACTCTTGTTCTGTTCAGGATCGTCGCACTCAGGCTCTGGTTGGCGCTGGCCCTCGGCGCCGTGAGTCTGAGGGCCTTTGGGAGGTTGACTGGCTTCGTGTTCCTTCCGCTGCTACCACATACGCCAGCTCCCATGCTCTTGCTGCCTCCTCTTTTGTGTCCTTCCAGCAGTGGCATCATCGACTTGGTCACATCTGTGGCTCTCGCTTATCCTCATTAGTACACCAAGGCGTCTTAGGGTCTGTCTCTGGTGATGTTTCATTGCATTGTGATGGTTGTAGGCTTGACAAACAGACCCAGTTACCTTATCCTACCAGTGAGTCTGTATCTCAGCGTCCTTTTGACTTAGTTCATTCTGTTGTATGGGGTCCTGCTCCTTTTGACTCGAAAGGGGGTCATCGCTACTATGTTCTATTTATTGATGATTTCTCTCGCTACACTTGGCTTTACTGTATGAAATCTCGCAGCGAGGTTCTCCCCATATACAAGCGTTTTGCTGCCATTGTTCGCACTCAATTTTCCACGTCTGTCCGTATCTTCCGTGCTGGCTCAGCTGGAGAGTATATCTCTCACATGTTGCGTGGTTTTCTTGCAGAGCAGGGCACTCTTGCCCAATTCTCTTGCCCTGGTGCCCATGCTCAGAATGGCGTTGCTGAACGCAAACATCGCCATTTGGTTGAGACGGCTCGGGCAATGATGATCGCCGCCTCTCTTCCACCTCATTTTTGGGCTGAGGCAGTATCCGCATCCACACACCTCATCAACATTCAGCCATCGGTTGCCTTGAAGGGTGGTATTCCTATGGAGCATCTCTCTGATCGCTCTCCTGACTACTCCGCTCTTCGTATGTTTGGGTGCGTGTGCTATGTTCTTCTTGCTCCGCGAGAACGAACCAAGTTGACTGCTCAGCCAGTTGAGTGTGTTTTCCTTGGCTATAGTGATGAGCACAAGGGCTATCGCTGTTGGGATCCTGTTGGTCGCCGACTGCGCATTTCGCGTGATGTGACTTTTGATGAGTCTCGTTTTTACTATCCGCGTCCCTCCTCCTCGAGCTTTTCCGTGGAAGATATTTCCTTCCTTCTCCTTCCCGACACATCTCCCTCTGTGCCCTCTGTTCTACCCTCTCCCAGAGGAGTCTCCCTACACCACCGGTACCACCATCCCCTCCCTCCTCCTCATCTCCCTCCCACCTTCCTCTCCAGTCTTTCGCCCACACTCCCCTTTTCCTCACTACTACACTCGTCGTCCTCGTGCTAGCGCTGATCCTACTGATGTGCCTCTACTTTTGGTGCACCACCTCTCACGCCTACGTCGGTCCATAACCTTCGTGTTAGGCCTTGTCCTCCTCCTGATCGCTATTCTCCTGACCGGTATGGTCTTTCTGCCATTGCTGAGCCCACCACCTATCGGGCCGGCATGACTCACCCTGAATGGTAGCTTGTGATGGTCGAGGAGCTTGCGGCGCTTGAGCACAATGGCACGTGGGATCTGGTTTCTCCTCCTTCTGGTGTTCGTCCCATCACTTGCAAGTGGGTCTACAAAGTTAAGACTCGCTCCGATGGTTCTCTTGAGCGCTACAAAGCTCGTCTTGTGGCCCGTGGTTTCCAGCAGGAGCAAGGACGCGATTATGATGAGACATTCGCTCCTGTGGCTCACATGACCACTGTCCGCACTCTCCTTGTTGTGGCTTCTGTTCGCAATTGGTCCATCTCTCAACTTGATGTCCAGAACGCCTTTCTCAATGGCGAGTTACGTGGGGAGGTGTATATGTAGCCACCACCGGGGTACTATGCTCCTGATGGCATGGTCTGTCGCCTTCGCCGCTTCCTCTATGGTCTTAAACAGGCCCCTCGCGCCTGGTTTGAGAGCTTCGCCTCTATGGTGACTGCCGCTGGCTTTTTGCCCAGTGACCATGATCCCGCATTGTTTGTTCACACGTCTTCTCGTGGTCAGACTCTTCTCCTTCTCTATGTTGATGACATGATCATCACTGGTGACGACTCTGACTATATTGCCTTTGTCAAGGCTCGCCTTCACAACCAGTTTCTCATGTCCGATCTTGGTCTACTTTGCTATTTTCTTGGGATTGAGATCTCCTCGACCTCTGATGGCTTCTACATCTCTCAGGAAAAATATATTCAGGATCTTCTTGCCCGCGCCGCTCTCGGTGATGAGCGCACTATTGTGACTCCTCAACATTCAGCTACGTGCCTCTGATGGTGATCCTCTTCCTAATCCCACTCGCTATCGTCACCTCATTAGCAGCCTTGTCTATCTTGCTGTTACACGTCCTGACATATCCCATCCTGTTCACATCCTGAGTCAGTTTCTTGCAGCCCCCACCTCTATCCACTATAGTCATCTCCTCCGTGTTCTACGATATCTTCGTGGCACGATCTCTCATCGCCTTTTCCCCTCGCTCCAGTTCTCTCGAGCTCCAGGCCTACTCCGATGCTACTCGGGCTAGTGATCCCTCAGATCGACGCTCGCTGTCTGCTTACTGTGTCTTTCTTGGAGGCTTTCTTATTGCCTGGAAGATCAAGAAACAGACTGCAGTTTCTCGCTCGAGCACCGAGGCTGAGTTGCGAGCAATGGCTATGTTGACGGCTGAGGTGATCTGGTTACGATGGTTACTTGAGGATTTTGGTGTGGCTGCTTCTACTTCCACTCCATTACTGTCTGACAGTACCGGTGTTATCAGTATTGCGCGTGGCCCGGTGAAGCATGAGCTCACCAAGCACATCGGCGTGGATGCCCACTTTGTGCGTGCTGCTGTGCAAGATTAGATTCTTGCTCTTCATGTGCCCTCTGAGTTACAATTGACGGACTTCTTCACGAAGGCACAAACTCGAGCGCAACATAGCTTTCTTTTCTCCAAACTCAGTGTTGTTGATCCACTATGAGTTTGAGGGGGGGGGTGTTAGATGTGTATATTCTCTTGTCTGTATATCCCTAATGTATAGGGGGTTCTCTGCACTTTGCCACACATGTATATGTACTGGCCTCTGGCCCTCAGTGAATACTAGTTGCTCATTCATCCAACAACGCACATTTCTTTCTTTATGCTCTCAAATAATTTTTGCGATGGGGACATCGGCTTCCAAGTCCTGTTGATTGGTTAGCACACACTCTCGAAACATGTTCTGGACGAGTCGAGGCATAATTTTTGCTACATCTTAATTACTCTTCTTTAAAAATCCATTTACTTCAATTTTTTGATAAAATCCATTTACTTCGTGGATGCTAGTAAGAATTATCATGGGGGAAGAAGGGATAAAACATCGCACATGATCGAGAAGGGTAATTTCCTTATTCTTTTTTTTAGGGAAAAAGGGGTGTGCCTAAGTTGACGAGTTAGAGTTGTACTCTAATCAAAGCAATTACAGGTCGGGCTTATAGCCCGCTTATAGGTCATTTTTGCCTATATGAAGGACAGAGACATTAGAAGATGACGGAAATGGTTCTCATGCAAGAGTTAACTATATGCGTACTTCTACGCAAATACAATACATATGAAGAAAGAGATAGAAAGAAGGTGAAAAGAAGTACTACTCTTGTAGCCAAACTTGTTGTATGAGTGACTATAAGTGATGATACAACATCATATAACTAGCAGTTGATTATACTATTAACCATGCTATAATCAGGGGATGGTATTCCTCTTTCTCCATATGCGGCTGTTATGATCCCGTGCTTATGTGAGCTTGGGTGAACAATAAAATTAAAAAGATAACAATTTAGAAAATTCTGATTTTTTTTGTATGAAACTTTGACAAATGTTTTGATAGCTTGCAAAATTTCATCGCCAGATGAAATTTGTGTAAAATGTGGCAAAAAAAACAAAACCGATGCTCCAAAAATATTATTTTCAAACGCATTTTGGCAATGTGAGCGAAGGAGGAGGTTGTTGAGAACTTGCGATGGAGATGAGTGCAGTGAGGCATTTTTTGTGTTTTTTAGGCCAGTGAGGACCAAGCAGCCACTGGCCGCTGGGACGCCACAATGGGCCTTCATCATTGGCAGGCAGGCCCATCGATTCTTTGTCCTTTTTTTTCTCTGACGTGAAACGGAGATCCAACTGGCCCATGAGACGGAAAATCTGGCGATCTTCCTTTACGGATCTGGGCGATTACCTCTGTAAACACGGCCCCCTAAACCCTTGCTCGATCTCCCCCAAATCCCAACCGGCCGATCATCATGCCGCCGTCACGGCCGCCACGTCGCCGCTGCGGCCGCCGCCGACGCCCGGCCACCGCCGCAGGGACGGATCCCTCCGCAGGCGGGAGCAGAGGGTGGCTCGCCGCCCGCCGCAGGCCGTTCAAGCGGCACGGGCCCGAGCACGGCGACCAGGCGCTGCCCCTGTGCGACGAGACCCTGCTCCTCGTCTTCTCCGCCCTCTCCGACGCCGGGGACCTCGTCCGCTGCGCTGCCGCTTGCAGGCGCTGGCGCCGCCTCGTCTCCTCCGACGCCGCCTTCATCTGCCGCCGCGGCCCCCCGCGCTGCGACCGCTTCGCCCGCCGCCTCGCGGTCGGCGTCTTCCTGCACGGCGACGGCTTCGTGCCCTTCACGAAGCCCGACCTCTCGATCACCGACGGCGGCGTGCCGGGCTCGTCGTCGCGCGTCGTCGCGTCCCGCAACGGCCGCGTCGTGATGGACCTCCGCCGCGCCAAGAGCGCCTGCGTGCTGCGGCTCTGCGTGTGCGACCCCATGACCGGCGACGCCGACCTGCTCCCGCCCCTGACCGGCAAGGACCGCCCGGGGCCGTACGCGTGCGCCCTGCTCACCGCCGACGACGGGCTCCACCTGTACGACGCATGCGCGGCCACGTCCACGTCCTCGTCCTCGTACCGCGTGCTGCTCCTCTACAACCACCGCAGCTACACGGCGCTCCGGCGCTACTCCTCGGAGGACGGCAGCTGGGGCCCGGAGGTGGAGGTGACCGGCGCCCGGATCGCGAGGGGGCGGCAGCTGGGCGTCAGGGCGCACGCGACGCTGGTGCGGGGCGGCGCCGTCTGCTGGTACGGGCTCGGCATCGCCGTCAACCCGGCCACGCTGCACACGTCCAGCTTTGGCTACACCGTGCAGGCCTTCGAGTCGCCGCCGCGCCGCGCCAAGGCCTCCCTCGGCAGCGAGGTGGACCGGCTGCTGGGGCTGATGCCGGACGGGAGGCTGTGCGTGCTGGAGTGCAAGGCCGACGCGGTGCGCGCCTACGTGGTCGTCTACGCCGACGCGGTGAGGAACGGCGGCGTGTCGGGGAGGAAGGAGTGGCGGTGGACGCTGAACACGGAGCTCATGGGCCTGCAGGCGGTGAGGTTGAGGTGGTTCTGCGAGAAGAGCGGCGTGGCGCTCTTCACGGCGAGGAACAGGGGCGGCAGGACGCAGGTGTACGCGGTGGACGTGGAGACGATGCGGGTGGGCAGGGTGGACTGGTCGGGGGACGGCGACGGGGACATGGACGTGTGTGGGTACGAGATGGACCGGGTGGCCATGCTCGCCGAGCTCGACCGCTCCGCTGAGCTCCATCCTGCTCCTCGGCAGCTCTGATTCAACATTCTTTTCCTTATTTTCTCCTTTTTTTTCTACAAAATTTCATTGATTTCTTCAATGACTGCAAATTGTAGTATTTGTACAGGAGTATTATAATGCTTTTCGCAAAATCAGTAGTAATACTGCAACCCAAACTGGTTCGATTATCGTCACTGTCATTGCTCTCGCGAAAATTTCATCTGGATCTCCAAATGAACCAAGCATCTCATGAAGGCACATGGATTGTTTGCATATAAACATCAATGACCTCCTGACTAAAATTTTCAACTTTTAAGGGAACTGAAACCACTTTGCAGCATCGTAGAAATATAAGTTCTGCATGTACCCTCGTGAACAATTAAATTGAAACAAACAGTAACACAAAAAATAAAAAACATGATTTCTTTGCCAGCAAACATCGGTGAATATTCTACTCCCTCTGTAAAGAAATATAAGAGTGTTTAGATCACTACTAAAGTGCTGATTTTGTGAAAAAAATAACATTGCTAATACTCTGTCAAAAGAAAAATCAATGCTCCAGAAAGAATATTTTTGAAAGCGTTTTGAGTTGCTGATTTTGCGAAAAGAATTCTAAACCTCCACGAATGTAATTTCATCACGAAATTTGCATGCACATAGAAAACTAAGCAGTGTTGGTCGTAAAAAAATCAGACTTTTACTGTTCATAGCAGGAGCTCTTGAGCTTGAGATTAGAAGGGAAGACTTTCGCCCGGCATTGTTTACACACCAAACACAATCATCATTCATCAGCGAAGCAAGAACTGAACTGCAGCAACATCGTCGCCTTGTGTTCTCGAGGGTCCTCTCTGCAATCTTCTTGTCCTACTGCACATTCAAATACTCCCTTTGCCTCAAAGTGTAAGACATTTTTTTGACACTTGAGACGAAGCGAGTATGTTTCGGAAGGGGCATTTGGAGCATTAGAGCATCTTCATTAGAAGATGTAAAAGCAAGTGATGTATAATTTACATCAACAAAAAGTTCTTTTTATACATCTTTAAAAAGTCCTAACTTCAAGAGATGTGTATATTTGGTGATGTAAAACTACTACTCCACCAAATGATGTATTTGAAGATGTAAAACTAGTACAACTACTATATTATTCCAAACATAACTTTAAATATAGCAAGTTCATTTGAAGCAAACATAGTTATTAAACATAATTAAACATACTTCAAACTACTACATGCATCAAACTACTACTACTCCGAGCCTACTCGTCGTCGCTCTTGAACTGCTCCCAGAACACCTTCTTCTTGGGGTTGTCGCACTCGTCCTCCTCCGAGTCATCCCAGTCCGACGAGTCGGACTAGACGGGGATCACCGCCTAGGCGCCGGCCTCCTCCACATCCTTCCTCACCGCCTTCTTTTGCCGCTCGGCCTCACGCTTCCTAGAGAACTCGTGCTCGGTCTGGACATACTCCGGATGCTCCCGCGTGAATCTCGCCTTTGCCGCCTCGTCACTATTGCCGGGAGCAACGATAATCACTGGCTTCTTCTTGTTCTTCTTCTCCTCATTCTCGTCCATCCGCCAAATATTGTGATTCTTCGGCCCAATTAGCTCCGTGTCTACCTGAGTCTCGCTCTCCGGAAAGTTCATCTCGCGCCTCGGCCGTCAGAAACGCCACATGGCGATTTCGTACGCAGGCGCGGGCATGTTGACGAAGTCAAACGTGCCGATCCAGTAGCGATAGCCATCGCACTGGAACTCCACACCGAAGTTCTCAGACGGCTTCTTCCGCACCCCTAAGAAGCCGGTCTTGCTCTTCGACACTTTCTTCGGCAGCATGGCGGCGGCTGAGCGTCGAGCTGAGACGGGCGCCGACGGCGGAGCTTGAATCAGGCGGCCGAGCTTCAAATCGAGACAAGGAGCGGGGCGGGGCGGCGGCAGAGCTCGAAACACGCAGGTGAAACTCGGATCGGGCGGCGGGGGAGCT